GAAGGAAGGAGGAGAGGAGGGAGGGAAAGAGGAAAGAGGGAGGAGTAGGAGGGAGGAAGGGGGAGGAGGGGGAGGGAAGAGCGAGGAGGAGAAGGAGGAAGGAGGAGAGAGGGAGGAGGGGAGGGGGAGAGGGGAGGGAGGGAGGAGGGGATGAAGGAGGGGAGGAGGATGGAGGAAAGGAGGGAAAGAGGAAGGAGAGAAGATGGAGGAAGATAAGGGAGTAGTAGTAGGAGGAGGGGGAGGGGACGGCAGTAGCAGCACTAACAGTAGTAGGAAAAAAAATAGTAGTGTTGTTGTAGTAGTAGTAGTTTGCTGTAGTAACAGTAGTAACAGTAGTAGTAGTAGTAGTAGTAGCAGTAATAGTAGCAGTAGCAGTAGCAGTATAGTAAAGTAATAGTATAGTAATAGTAATAGTAATAGTAGTAGTAGTAGTAGTAGTAGTAGTAGTAGTAGTAGTAGTAGTAGTAGTAGTAGTAGTAGAGTACGAGGAGGAGGAGGAGGGAGGAGGGCGAAGAGTAGGAGAAAGAGGAAGAGGAGGATGAGGAGAAAGAGAAGTGTGATGCAGGAGTACTGATTCGTTAATGATAATGGGATTCGTCTGTATACAATTACTAATCCTTTCCAATCTAATAAATATGGCCTCTTTTGTTTTATTGCTTTTTTAATTATTACCCAATGAATGAATTTGGACATTTTATATTTTGACTATACGCACACACACACGCACGCACCACGCACGCACGCACGCACGCGCACGCACACACACACACACACACACACACACACACACACACACACACACACACACACCACACACACACACACACACACACACACACACACACACACACACACACACACTCACACACACACACACACACACACACACACACACACATATATATATCATAGAACAGCAAAAAGGCTAAAAAGACATTTTCCTTGATTTATACATGAAATTACACAGAAAAAAGTACTTGCAAACACTGGTCACAGAAGCTAATAATCGTATTTTAAATATGCCAACAAAAATGTCTTAAAAAATATATTTCTTGAAAATGTAAACCGAAAATCAAAAAAAGAAAAAAAATTAACCACCAAACAAAAAAATACTGTATTTACTTTCAAATAAATAGGAATGGAGAAGACAGTAAAAAAAAAAAATACACATGGATTTCAGTGCAGGATAAAAGTAATTCATTTACAATATGTTGACCATCTGTTAGAAGGAGAGAATAAAACCAGCACTAAAATAACGATAACAACAACAACAATTAAGATACCCATTACAATCATCCCCCAATATACACAATCACACATGGCTCTACAATATACATGTACCCGTTCAGTGTGCATGTAGGTGTGGCTCCGAAGTTAACTGAAGCAGCAAGTTAGATAAATTCTTTATCAGATTCAGGGACGCGGTATATTTCTGCTGATGTGTTGTTAGGAGAATTCTGAACTCTGAAATATACTGCGTTTGGGCAGTGTATTTCCTGGAACTGTGTGTATGGTCATATGTATATGAATAAATACACACACACGCGCGCACGCTCGCTCACTCGCTCACTCATACTCATATTCACTCTCACTCTCTCTCTCACACACACACACACACACCACACACACACACACACACACACACACACACACACACACACACACACACACACACACACATACGCACACACACATACGCACACACACACACGCACACACACACACACACACACACACACACACACACACACGTATCAGTGTTCATATATACCTACATACAGACGGAATGTACATGTGTGCGCGTCGGCATATGTATATGCATATCTATATCTTATTCCATCTGATATCTGTATATATATATTTTTTTCAAAACCGTTAAAATTATATGAATCAACGTTAGATATTCACAATTATGCTATTCTGATTGATAACCAATGTGGTTTTTGCTTTTGACACTTTCCATTTATCAGTTTATTTATTTTAGAAAAGCAATGCATAATCTGCAAAGATTCGTAGTTAACCTACAGTACTGATTAGATTAGGAAGAGGAAGAAGAGGTGGAATAGGAAGAGGAAGAGAAAGAGGTGGAGGAGAAAGGGAAGAAAAGGGGAGGCGGAGCAGGAGGAGGAGGAGGAAGAAGAGAAAGAGGAAAAGGAACAGGGAAGAAGAGAAAGAAAAGTAGGAGTAGGAGAGAGAGCAAGATGAAGAGGAGGTGGAAGAGGAGGCAGAGGAGTAAGAGAATGAGAAAGAAAAAGAGGAGGAGGATTTGGAGAAGTAGGACTAGGGGGGGAGAGAGGAGAAAGAGGACGAGGACGAGGAAGAGGAGGGGGAGAGGGTAGAAAGAGGAAAAGGAAAAGGAAGAAAGAGAGGAGTCAGTATAGGGAGAAAGATGAAGAGGAGGATTGATTAAGAGAAAGAAAAAGAGGTGAAGAAGAGAGAGGAGAAAGAGGAGGAGGAGGAGGAGGATAAGGATTTGAAGTATGAGTAGGAAGACGAGTGAGTGGATAAGGGAGAGGGAGAAGAGAAAGAAAGAGAAGAGAGAGAGAAAGAAAAGAAAGAAGAAGAAAAGAAAGAAAGAAAGAGAGAAAGAGAGAATCCATAATACAACATTCGCCATCCATAACTAACTAAACTAACAATTTATCTATCTATCTATTTAGCTGTACATTATACCTAACGGAGCTACACAACAAATGAGAATTTTCCCGCCAAAACGAAATGTACTAGAAGCTTCGAGGGATATTTCCCGCCAAAACAAACGTAGCTTAACTTGATATTCTAATATAATGAATTATATAATGTACTTAATTAAGATGAATAAAATCAAAGAGATCTCTATAAAAGTCATTTATTTTTCTACATACTTATTCTCAATTATTGATTTATTCCATATTTTCACCACTGTTTGAGTTGCCTTGTTACTATTTTCGTTTCTATTTCTATTCTATAATCGGTCGTTCGTAAAGATCAAAGTGGAAGATAATTTCATGATTATGACAATTAATTATATTTACGTACTGATTATAAATACCTAATAAACAAATTTAATAGAGAAACTAAAATGAAGAGACCGTCAACAGGCAACAGCCCCCCCTCCCCCCAAAAAAATACACCAATCACGATGAACTTTAACTGACCAATCACAGCCTCGGACGCTGTGCTATATAAACAAGCGCCCGCCAAAATTCGGCCTTTTTCATGCAAGGTCTTACTCACGCGAAGCTCAGCAAAAACAACCTACAAGTCTACAAAGCAAACTGACCAACTTTTTTTCGAGGATTAGAAGAGAAGCAGGATGAGTAAGAGAGTCTTGAAGCAGGCCGCTCAGTTGGGGCGGGAGTTCGACGAGAAGAAGGAGGCCCTGAAGGAGGCGATCGAGGACAAGGCGCGGAAGGTCGACGGCAAGCTGGCCGACCTGGCCGAGCCCAACGCCAAGAAGGCGGCCAAGCCCATCGCTAAGAAGGCGGTCAAGCCCATCGCCAAGAAGGCGGTCGAGTTCCTGCAGAAGCACGGCGACTTGTCCTCCGACGTGTCCGACGTGGCGCAGAGCCAGGCCGCGAGCTTCCTGCGGCCCGCCATCGTGCGCCGCCGCCGCAGGAGCGAGTCCTACCGGCTGTACATCACGCGGCTCGTGAAGGACCTCGACCCCGCATCCGGCATCACGCAGAGCGGCCTCGCCGTCATGGACAACTTGACCTGCGACCTGTTCGAGCGCCTGGCGCACGCCTCCACCGACCTGATCAAGGTGGGCAAGCGGCTCACGCTGAGCGAGCGCGACGTCGAGGCGGCCGTCAAGCTGCATCTGAAGGGGGAACTGCGGCGGGAGTGCGAGCGGGAGGCCCGCGCCGCCGTCAAGCGCTTCAAGACCTACCAGTGAGCGCTCGGCCCGAGGGCGTTCGCCACCACCAGGACGCCCGGCCCCCTCGGGGGCCAAACACACTCTAAAGAGATGAAATGACACTAAAACATCCCCTTCATTACCTATCATCCCTTTCATTTTCCATTATCACCGACCTTTCTTCACATTCAAATAAATAAGAATTGAAATAAAGAAAAGAAAAAGGAAAATGCCACGTGTTTAGGCGGGAAATCGGGCGCCTTCGGCCACGAGGCGGGAAACCTGGCCGCTGAGGCCACGCCGCTAAATTCATTTTAATGATAATAGCAAGAGCTAGTAATGATGAAGAATATGAGAGTAAAAACGATAATACTTCCACCAGAAATATATTTCTCGGTTACTCTTGAGAAGTGGATGGCGTGTGTGCGTGCGCGCGTAGGTTAGGAGATGAGAGCGGAAAGAGAAGAAATAGTGGCAAGGAGAGTGAGCGATCTTCATATATATATGTATAAATAAGCACACGCTTACATGCATCTATATACATTGTGTGCATAACGTATGCATAAATAGATTTTAATAGATGGATGTGTATGTATATTGTGTAGGCCTATGTATATTCATACATGTATTCCTCCACCAAAGCCTCTCTTTTACTGAAGTGATCATTGATTCTACTTTTTAATGCAAATGGTTAATGGTTAAAAGCAAAATAAATGTGCTAGACATCTAAGGTCATATAGCACTATAGGAAGGTATAGTAAAGGGGGATGTCAGGTGATAGTTGCTATGCGTCAACTATCTCGAGTAATGTTGAAAGGTTGAAGTTGGGTAAGGGTTGATGAGGGAAAGGGTTATGGTGGTTTAGCTAAGGGAGTTAGATCAAGTGAAGGATATTAAGGTGTTTTATGATGGATAAGTATAGACGAAACATAAAGGGAGTGTGGGGATGAGATAAAATGGTAATTGGGAATTGAAATAGGATGATGTGTGAGGAAAGTCTCTTGCAGATAATAGATGGATTATAAGAAGCAAAGGTATGACGTAGGTCTGGTCTGTGAGAACGGAAGCTGCGAATATTCCATTGTAGGAGAGTTATATCTTTGTTATTTTATGAGTGAAAGCGTCGGTACGTATTGGGAATCTGGGGGGGCTAGGGGGTGTAAAGGGGTATCAGGAGGAGGGAAATCTGGGGAAGGGCATGTTGTGATATGAGTGATTCCCGTGTGTATCCGGGAGGGAGTGGAAGGATAGAGGGGATGGAGAGGAGAATGTGCGTATAGTTGGGGCTGAAGGGGTTGTGTTGGGAGGAGGAAGAAGGTGTGGGGGAAGATTAGTGTAGGAGGATGGATATCGGAAGGATGGATAGTTGGAGTTGAAGGGGATGTGTTGTCTTGGGAGGGATTAGGAGGAAGGGGTGTAGGGGTGCTATGAGTAAGAGGGGATGGATATTAGGAGGATATTATGGATCACGGAGGAAGGGGTGTGGAATATGAGTAGGTGGGGAATGAATATCGGAGTGTGGGAGCATCGGATCTTGTGTCTCAAGCATATAGCTTTGAATGTCATCCATAGTTTCTGCAGTGGAGTTGGTTGGAGTTTTTGTGGAAAAAGGTTTTCTTATGAGGGGGGGGGGGAGGGAGACTGGTGTCTCAGGAATAAAGGTAAAGGTAGGTGGAGGAAGAACGGTTAGAACGTTTTAGTCTGTTACTGCGGGTAGTGCAGGGAGGGAGAGGGGATGGTGTTGGGGCTGTAGTTGAGATTGGAGTGTCTGGATTAGTGGCAAAGATTGGTCTGAGGGAGGTAGAATGTAGAAGCTGGATGAGAGATTTAGAGTGGCAAAAAATTGGTCTGAGGAGTAGAATGTAGAAGTGGAAACATCTTGGGGTGGAGGGAGGGCTGAGCGAACGATGTTACTAGAGTATGGAGTATGAGAGAAACGTTGTCGACGTGCTTCCTGTCTGGCTTCACGTAAAGTGAGACCATTTTTGTATCTGAGAGTTACTACCTCAGATTCAAACTTGTAAGTGGGACAGCCTCTATAAAATACATTATGGGGGCAGCCGCAGTTAGCACATGTACGTGTTTGTACTGAGCAGTTTGATCAGTTATGACCAGGTTGGGCACATATGGGGCATCGGTCTGTGGAACGGCAGTGTTTGGCAGGATGTCCAAAGCGCCAACAATTATGACATTGACGGGGAGGGGGTTGGTATGGTCGAACAGGGAGGGATTGTCCATCAATGTAGATACGTAAGGGAAGGTCATGTGTACGGAAAATAATTTTGGCAATGTCGGTCGGATTCTTTCGTTGACCTTTAGGAGGAATGGTGTAGCAATGTACTGATTTCACATATTGGTCTTTGAGGCATCCTAATAAGTCTTCTCCACATTCTGAACAATCTTTGGTATCGACTGGGCAGTTTGCTGGGGAGAGAGAGACAGTTCCGTACAAGTTAAGGTTGGATGAGGTTCTGCAGGAATGGGGTTGCCAGAATGATCAGTTAAATTTGATAGTGCAATAGATTCAGTTTCTGATCTGACTGTTACAAGACGGGAGCGATCGCGTCTGGTATAGAAAGGGACTCTGCCCACTTGTTTGTGGAGACATTGTTGAAAGAAAAGAGTGTTGCCTGAGTAAGGATCTGTAGAAGGGATCACGAAAAATCGGTCCCATTTAGCTGGGCTAAACAGAGCATTTAAGATATCTGTAGGGTTGGTGGTGGTGGATGGTCGGGGACGTGTGGAAGAGGGAGTATTACGGAGTGATGGAGAATAAGGCTGTAAGGTAGTAATAAGGGAGGATAGAGTGCTCGATGAAGGTTGTGGGGGTAGAGCTGATGAATTTGAGGAAGTTGGGAGGGTAGGAATGTCTTCTGGAGATTGAGTCTCTGCTTGGGTGGGTAATGCACTAGTAGGCATTGAGGAGTGGGTAGTAGTTTCAGTGTTCGGAGTCGTGGTAAAAGGAGAGCCTGGGATGGGGCTATTTGATAAAGAGGCAAGCCTCATTGCCCCTAATAAGGGGATTACATCTTCATTACTGGTCATGGGGAACCTTGATTATATAAAGTGGTATAAACGGTCCACCTCCTTTCGCTTGAAGGAAAGGACTAGACAATTAAATCGGGAGTACCGTGCCCATAGTTCCCGCAGGCCGTTCAGGACTGGCACAAGGTCGGCCTTCCATCCTTTCAGCACGGCTCTTACACCTTAGGAAGTAGATAGTAGAAGGGGTTGGAGAAGGGACGGAAACAAAAAGCTGGAGGGGGAAAAGACCATAAAAAATTAGTTGAGTCGAGGGCTGAGGCCCTAGGCAGGGGAGATCCCTGCATTGGGTCTCAGTCTTCGTCTCCTAAGCCCTCCAAAGTAAAATTTAATAGCACGTATCTGACTATATGTATATTGTGCACCTAATAATATGGTAATTTACGATAAGCTCTTTGCTCTTCAGGATAGTTTGCCACAGAATAAATTATTTTTAGATTTTAATGCTCGTCATACATTACTGGGTTCCCTGCGGGTGGATAGTAGAAGTGAGCAAGTATTTAGGCTAATTAATTAAAATTTAATCTCAGTGAAAGACATTCGCAGCTGACGTGGGGAGATTACTTAAAACTAATGCAGTTAACAGTATGATTTACGCAATACATTTCTTAAAAACTCCCCCTCTCCCATTCTGTGTTTCTCTGACTCGCTCACCATCTCTCTGCTCCACTCTCTCCCACACACTACTCTCTGTCTCTCTCTCTCCCCCCTTCTCTGTGTCTCTCCCTCCCTCCCTTTCTCTCTCTCTCTCTCCCCCTCTCCTCTCCCTCCTTCTCCTCCCTCCCTCTCTCACTCTCTCTCTCTCTCTCACCTTTCGCTAGCTGTCTGTATATCAGCCAATACGTAACCTTGACATTTGCGTATATATTTAGATCCTTGCTTGAGCTAGCTTTTGTACAGCGTCTCTCCTGCGAGTTGGGCGCGTTTACTGTCTTTGTCATTGTGTACATAGACCTTGCCTACGACTACATCCAAGCGTGCATTTACGTTTATTTATGTATGCGTGGAAGGTATTGCATTCAGTGGGCGTGTGCTTTTGTGCGTGCGGGATGTGCATTCACTTTACTGCGTCAGTGCTGCACATTTAAAAAAAAATTGTTTATGTTTTCAGAACTTTTTTCTCCTAAATACTTCATTTTTGGGTTTTCATTTCATTTTATATCACTGAATGGTTGTTAACTAATAGATGATTACTGATATGAGATTGCAGGATTTAAGAGAGATTCTGGAAGAGAAAGCACATTCGAACCATGTCAATAAACTTCAATCCGTAGCTTCATCAATATATATATATATATATATATATATATATATATATATATATATATATATATATGTGTGTGTGTGTGTGTGTGTGTGTGTGTGTGTGTGTGTGTGTGTGTGTGTGTGTGTGTGTGTGTGTGTGTGTGTGCGCGCGTCCCACATAAATATATATCTAACTACATCTATGTACCTAAATGTATCTATATACATAAACATGACGAGAGTGACCGCAAAAATAATTACCGCAGCGAGACTGAACACCTCAAGTTGACTGCAAAGTATCTGAGTATTTGTATGAAAGAGAAACCTCATTAGCCCAATGGAGAGGTGATTAGAATCGATTTGCGGCTCATTATCAATTCTTAACCCTTGATTTCCTGTTCGTCGTATATATGAGGTACCATAAAACGATGGGAAAATATGAAATAAAAGATAATAAATCAATGAAGCAGAGAATTTTCATTTTCCGTAATAAAAGTTTTATGCAAATTGTTAAATGAATAAATGTTTAAATTCATTTCAAAATAGCTATTAAAAAACTAGCACAATTAAATACTTTGTTTATCTAACCATGCTTATCAATGGAAAAAATGTATATTCGCAATATATGCACAAACTACGAGCAATACCATTCCCTCATAAAAATAAAAGACGTCACGATTATACAAAAGGTCACGGCATTAGGACTCAGATAAACCCTGACACAAATTATAACATTTGTTTTTTGAGTCTTGACAAGTGGACTAGGATGGTAGCCAGATTTCCGTAGTCGTGATAATCTACATTTTCTTTGAGCTATTTTTTTTCTAGGCTAGTGAATGGTTTTCCTTTTCGTTTATTCAATAAGAAGCATAAGAAAATTCGAAACACGAGCCAACTTGTGGATCTTGATTTGTATATGAAGAAATATGAAAAAAGGTGTCGATTTCAAATTGTAAAATAACTGAAACGGTGAGCTGTTCTTCTTGTCCACTGCTGTGAGGAGGATTTGAAACAGCCAATTCACAAATGAATCTGGTTCTTATGTACCGTGTCCAGGTTATATTGTATAAGCGAGAATGGCGGGAACCAGTGTAGAGCAGTGATCTTTTTTTTTTTTTTGAATGGCCGCACACCACAAGAGACCTTTGACGAAACGAAAGCAACTTATGGCGAGGCTATCCCATTATCTGACGTTGTTAACCACTGGCATCCTCATCTCAGGTGTGGTCGGAGATCTGTAGGAACGGCACCTACCCCTACGGTGACCCTAGTCTGCCACTGATGAGTACACCATCCATCAAAGGGAGGCTGCCATTTTGCCGTATTACTGTCTGTCAGCGAGCCCAAGATGTCAGGATTAGTGTTGGGTCTGTGGACATACCCAAACTGGAAAGAAATGAACGAACGAAATCTTTAAAAAATCTAAAGGAGCCAAATAATTCAAACCCGAAAAGACAACCATGTATGTATATGTATATATATATGTATATATATATATATATATATATATATATATATATATATATATATATATATATATATATATATATATATATATATATGCACACATGTGCATATAATGTACTGGAAACAAAAGCTTAAAAAGTAATATATGTATCTCTTTGATCGTAGATTCCAAACCAAAAATAATTCCGAAAACGGCAAAAGACTACGAACGAGAACGCAACTGGTAAAAAAAAAACGATGAGATGAGAGAAAGAACAACGAACATCTTTCTCGAACAGGAATCAGCTGGGCAGCCTTTGGTATCTCGTGCCACAGGATTTCCCGTTTGACATTACGTTTCCCGAACAGACAATGCCATTAAAAAGAAAAAAAAAAAAAAAATGCGCAGAACATTTACACTGAAAATAGATAAACAAGGACGATGATAATAATAGGGACAGCCCTAACATTATTATGATAAGAATTTTTAATGACATGTAGATAATATTTATGATCAAAGTATATCCCAAGATAGTAATGGTTTTATTGACACTATCATAACAAATGTGTTAACGCTATCATAATTACCCGTAATTATCAGCCTTCTCATAATCATCATCTAAGAGGGGCCGATTTTCCAACAGCCCCTGGGACTTTTATATAACTACGAAGGTCCTCATAATGAAAAATGAGTTGGCATCTGTCCTGGGAATCGATAATTTATGGAGCAAAGTTTCAGTCTCACCCGTTTCGGCTCGTATACGTGTGCGGCCATTTGTGATACAAGATTGGCTGGCTGGGTGTTTGGAAAATGTGGCTCTGTCCTTTGAACTCGCAGATTCACCTTTAGCCAACGATGTGATTCCACATTTCCCAAACACCCAGCCAAGCCAATCATATATCCAATATGGCCGCGCCCGCACACAAACCGAAACGGGCGACTGAAACTTGTGCTCCATAAATCATTGATTCCCAGGTCAGACGCTAACTAAATTTTCAGTTATAAAAAGTGTGATTCCTGCGTTTCGGTCTTCTTGAACACCCTTTGTTACCCTCCCATGATTTGGCCAGATCTATAAAGATCGTTAACCGGATGGAATATAGGGATGTGTATGTACGAGCGAGTGAGTAAGCGTGTGTGTATGTGTGTGTGTGTGTGTGTGTGTGTGTGTGTGATGTGTGTGTGAGTGAGTGAGTGAGTGAGTGAGTGAGAGTGAGAGTGAGTGAGAGTGAGAGTGAGAGTGAGAGTGAGAGTGAGAGTGAGAGTGAGAGTGAGAGTGAGAGCGAGAGCGAGAGCGAGTGTGAGTATTTGTGTTGATAATGATAACAATACTAATCATGATGATGATGATTGATAATGACAGTGAAAATGAAAATAATGATACTGATGATGATAACAACCAAAAAGCAAAAAGCAGCACAAAGGCCTGGGGCCGGATTTACTAACGTCTTAAATCGTAAATGGTCTATTTATATCGTAAAACAAGTTACTCTCTAGTTTCTCGCAACGAGCGTATTTTCAAAACACTCCCGAGGTCGTAAACACATCTCCGTACGAGAGACATTTACGGTAGCCCGAAACCTCTCGTGACGCTTATCGTAGCGACCCTCCTCAGCTCATATCAGATTCATAAATACCTTCAGGAGTGTGTAAAGGTCACTTTGCCATGTGGAAATCAATTAATGTGCAAGAGCAACCTACTGAGGATGCATAGTAACGGAAAAAAAAACAATATGACTAATGTAAATAAGGATTGGCCTTTGCCAATGCATAGAGGCGCGGAAACACTTGATGTAAATCACTCAGCAAGTTTAATTTATCATGAATTAATGGATCTCTAACACATCTTCAAGTACGAAATCTGAATGAAAATGCATAATTCCATCATTATGACTATTTTCCTCTATAGCAACAAAACATAATAAATATTTAATGACAAATGTTACCAATATACAAACCCACCTCTTAATAGCCTAATGTAAAATTACATTTAGCATTGGATCCATTTCTTTATGAATAATGATTAAGATGAATGTTTTACTGGATTGCAACAAATTTCTATCATAATATCTTTTGAAAATATAACGAAATGCTTGATTTTTTTTGAGAGACAGATATGAATATATATGTGTGATCTCTTTCCCTCTACATGTCATATATATATATATATATATATATATATATATATATATATATATATATATATATATATATATATATATATATACTATTATATATGCATATATACATACAATTCTGTATATACAAAAATATATACATGTATATGCATATATATATATATATATATATATATATATATATATATATATATATATATATATATATATGACTAGATATATACATGTACTGCATATCTTTTGGCATGTGTATATATATAGGCCTACACACACACACACACACACACACACACACACACACACACACACACACACACACACACACACACACACACACACACACACACACACACACACACACACACACACACACATATATATATATATATATATATATATATATATATATATATATATATATATATATATATATATATATATATATATATATATCAGAATTTATAAGACTATTTATAAAAGTGGTAATGATCAATAAAAGGTAATGATTCCCCAGGTGGTGATATAGATATTGTTTTAAGTAGAACTCATTAGAGTTGCCTCAGTTCAGCGGATAACGTTCTGTGATTGGCCGACTTTTACCCGAGCTAACGCTGATTGGTCGATCGAGCCGTTCTTTTAGGAAATAAAGCCCTACGACACCTAGCGATAGAAAATTCGGTCGTTACGGTTACGACCCCTGCGCTCTCGTTGTTTGGCGTTTGAAAATAGGTCGTAAAGTCGCGAGTTGAGAAATCGTTGATAGTTCTCGTAACTGTTACGAGAGACAGCGTTTACGAGAGAGTTTAGTAAATCCGGCCCCTGTATCGCTGTTCTCATCGGCATTAACATTTACAAACGTTCTGCGCAGGAAACACCACCGAGGCAATGCACAAAAGGGGGCTGCGCGTGTCCTAACTCCGTGCAGTTCTCGTCTCGCTTGTCTGTGTGTATGTAGTGGGTGAGGGAGAGTGGGTGGGTGAGGGGAATGTATTGAGGAGGAGATTGGGGAGGGAGTTGGATGGAGAGTAGGGGAGAAGGGGGAGGGGGGGAGGGGGGAGGAGAGGGGGAGAAGGGGGAAGAAAGGAGAGGGAAGGAAAAGGAGTGTGACAGAGGGGCTGTGGGTACGTGATTGAGAGTGAAGCGAGAGGTGTGTAAGGTGGGGGGGGGGTGAAGAGAGGGAAGGGGAAGGAGTGAGGGAGGAGGGGGAAGGAGTGTGGGAGAGGGAGGGGGAAGGAGTGGGAGAGGGGGGAGAGTGAGGGAGAGGGAGGGGGAAGGAGTGAGGGAGAGGGAGGGGAAGGAGAGGAGAGGGAGGGGAGGGTGGGGGAAGGTGAGGGAGGAGGGAGGGGAAGTGAGGGAGAGGGAGGGGGAAGGAGTGAGGAGAGGGAGGGAGAGGGGGGAGGAGGGGAGTGAGGGAGAGGGAGGGAAGGAGTGAGGGAGAGGAGGGGGAGGAGTGGGGAGAGGGAGGGGGGAGTGAGGGAGAGGGAGGGGAAGGAGGAGGAGAGGGAGGGGGAAGGAGTGAGGGGAGGAAGGAGTGAGGGAGGAGGGGAAGGAGTGAGGGAGAGGGAGGGGAAAGGGAAGGGAGGGGGGAGGGGAGAGGGAGGGGAAAGGAGGGGAGAGGGAGGGGAAGGGAGGGAGAGGAGAGGGGGAGAGGGAGGAGGGGAAGGAGTGAGGGAGAGGAGGGGAAGGAGTGAGGGAGAGGGAGGGGGGAGGAGGAGAGAGGGGGAGGAGTGAGGGAGGGAGGGGGAAGAGAGGGAGAGAGGGAAGGAGAGGGAGAGGGAGGAGGGAGGGGAAGGAGTGAGGGAGAGGAGGGGGAAGAGTGAGGGGAGGGGGAAGGAGTGAGGGAGGGAGTGGTGGAAGGAGTGAGGAGGGGAGGGGAGAGGGAAGGAGTGAGGGAGAGGAGGGGGAGGAGGAGAGGGAGGGGGAGAGGGGGGAGGAGAGAGTGAGAGGGAGGGGGAGGGGGAAGGAGTGAGGGAGAGGGAGGGGGAAGGAGTGAGGGAGAGGGAGGGAAGGAGTGAGGGAGGGAGGGAGGGGGAGGAGGGAGTGAGGGGAGAGGAGGGAGGAGAGAGGGAGGGGAAGGAGTTGAGGGAGGCGGAGGGGGAGAGTGAGGGAGAGGGAGGGGGAAGGAGTGAGGGAGAGGGAGGGGAAGGTGAGGGAGAGGGAGGAAGGAGTGAGGGAGAGGGAGGGGAAGGAGTGAGGAGAGGGAGGGGGAAGGAGTGAGGGAGAGGGAGGGAGAGTGAGGAGAGGGAGGGGGAAGGAGTGAGGGAGAGGGAGGGGGAAGGAGTGAGGGAGAGGGAGGGGAAGGAGTGAGGGAGAGGGAGGGGGAAGGAGGGAGGAGAGGAGGGAGGGGGGAGTGAGGGAGGGAGGAGAGGGGAAGGAGTGAGGGAGAGGGAGGGGAAGGAGTGAGGGAGAGGGAGGGGAGGGGAGGAGTGAGGGAGAGGGTGTGTGGGGATGTGGTGTGAGGCGAGGAGGGTAGGTGAGGGAGAGGAGGGGAAGATGAAGGAGTGTGAGAGGGGATGGAGGATGAGGGGAGGGAAAGTAGTGTGAGAGGATGGAGGGAGGGAGTGTGAGGGTATGAAGAAGTGTTTTTTTTGTGTGTGCGTGCGTGTGCGTGCGTATCACCACTGCACAGAAAGATAAAGGTGTCCTCACCCATAACTACAGAAAGCTGCTGTATATACTCCAAAGTATTTGTATGTGTGCATTTACTCCTCTCTATGCACAGGTCTTGAGAAACTCTCCCAGGGATATGAACAAGGGCGCCATTTTCCCTCCCGCTTGGAAGATGCTGACTTTGCCGCATTTTCTTCTGCTTCTACTTCGGGGTGAGTCACTGTCAAAGAAGCATTTCGATAAGTCAGTCTTGTAGTATTACTGTGGACAACTTTTTGCGTCAAATAATCTCAAGTGTATTGCTATCAGCGGGTTCTATTAGGCAAAGTATTGATAAATCCTATCTGATCATTATCTCCTCTTTTCTCTTTCTCTCTCCTTCTCCTCCCTCCTCTTCTTCTTTTCCTTCCTCCTCCTCTTCTCTTCTTTCTCCTTCTCCTCTCTCCCTTTCTCTTTTTTCCTTCTCTTTCTCTCAGTCTTGCTCTCACTCCAACTCTAATCCTAACTCTGTTTTTTGTGTACCACTCACTTTTCTGATGCTGGGTCCTATTTTACACACACTAAAGAAATGTCTATGGAGACATAAGGACCATCTAATGGGGTCCTTTTTGAGCGAGGTATACGGGCGAAATCGCTCATAACAGGTAATTAATAATAAATAAAAGTCTGATTCGATCACGGAGGATTCGAGTCGAAGCTTCCACACAGGAACGAACCCCGCACTAAACGGACAAATTATCACAAAACCGGCCTTTGTATCAAAATCTTTTTCTAAACCTTCCTAAACAGGGAGTTTCGCCCTGAACCCCAACTCCATTACCGCATTTCCTCAGCCTGTCGCCTCATTTACTAGAAAGTTCAGTACATTTAGAGTCGGAAATTTGGGTTTACCTTGTCGAGGAGGGTGATGGTTGGCTGGGAGCGTGAAGAACCTCTGATGAGTCTAAATTTTGTCGGGTCTATACGGCTGAAATGCTGCAGGAATATAGTTCTTACACTTCGCATTACCCCCCGAGATTGCAATATTTTCATTAAGAGTTCACTTCTCCGGAATATTGGGAAATAATCCATAAAACAAGTAATTTTTACAAACTCTTCTCCGAAAGGCGCGAGGATTGTTGTGACAATAGAATTGTCAAATATGCCGCTAGGTGGTTGGCAAGGCTTGTCGCTTTTCCGTGGCAGCACTTCTGCCGTTTTCTAAACATTCGATGATAAAGAAAACGGATATAAATAGAAAATTGAACCATACACTATCATAAACGGATGAGTATTAGATTACAGTTACAGTGCGTAGAGTCTGAGTCTGATCATTATAAGATTCCCTGAGCTACCTTCGATATACAATAAATACATTATTGATCTAATATTATATCAACATTCAATAATATAAAATGCACCCTCATTTCTATATAGAAAATGTATTAGATGTGTAACAAAAAAATGCGACATTGAACGTGTAACCTTGATTTATCTAAACCTTGTAGTCTACTATGTATGAAAATTGAAATAGAGAGCCACATACAAAGTATAGTGTCTTTTAAAAGAATGACAGATTTGAAGCGAGTTTAAGACGTAGATGCGTTGACATAGGGTTATGCAAGGTTAAGGCGCAGGTAACTGGCTCAGTACAAGGCCACTGGTCCTTGATGCAACGCGAGGTTAAGCTGGGAAGCACGTGGGTCCAATTTTCTTCATTTCTGACGTCACTCTTTACCTGCATAGATTATTTAACTTACGGTAATTGTATTTCTTTCCCTCTTTAAGACTGTCCTAGGATTTCCCCCCGCTGTTGTTTTGTAAATTTATGTTACGTATTTTATTCTAGAACTGAATATTAGCCAGGATAGGGTAACATTAGTTTTATGATTGTAAAATTCCACCTAATCTTTATTTTACCAGCGTCACCCTAGAAATCTCTAGGAATCGTACCTTAAGTTTTCATCATAAGTTGTTATTATTGAAATATGGAGACCAAACGACAGAGTTGGATGTATTGATGCTGACGAAGTGATGTTTTGTTGACGTTTCGTTCCTTCATGAATTCAAATATACATCTGATGCTCAAAATGCATTTTTAACAGTCTGTATTTCCAATTCTTAATCTTTTCAATATGCCCAGTCCTCTAGTTTCCTTCCCTTTCTAACCAACATTTATTAACTTATCTTTCTCTCTCTATCCTCTCTCTATTTGAGCGAATTATATTGCCATACAGTCGTCAGTTAGAATGGAAACTAACGTATATTATTCTTCCAAGCAGCTGGTGCCATTGCTTCGGACTGTGACAATGGTGAGTCGTATGTTTTTCTTTCTTTCTTTTTTTTAACACGAGTAATGTAATCTGTTGAATAGGTGACGATAATACTGATGAAGATGGTAAACATATGATGTCACTACTAAATGTTTTTGGTAATAATGACAGCATTGATAATAAAGGTGACGGTAATGATGATAATGGCAATGATAATAGTAATGACACCCCCACTTCCGCTCCCACAGTCACTCAGACCTCATTTCTCACACGCCCCTTTCACACTCCTCACTCCTCACTCCCTCAGCCTGTCTTGGCCATCCCCTCTTGCGAATCGGCCTGCCCCTCCTGAACGAAACAGCTGTGAGTTACTGGTGGCCTGGACAAGACGTTGAATTTGTCCATTTCGAAGGAAACGGACTGGCCATGACGCCACACGTTCCACAGGTGAAGAGGAACCGATGGCACAAGCTCGTTCTGCAGTCCAGTTTCTCGCCTGAGGATGAGTTCATGATGCAACATAGGGGTGAGATGGAAATGGTGGTTCTTTGTTTTCTTTGAGGTTTGGGTTTGTTTGTTCTTGTATCTCGCGGTTATGTTTTTTTTTATTGAATTTGTTGTGGGTTCTAGTATGTGTTTGTGTGTGTGTGTGTTTTTTTTTTTTTTTTTTGCTTCTTTTCTTTCTTTGAAGGTGTGTGTTTGGATTTTTTTTTATTAGAGGTGTTTGTAGGTGTGTGTGTGTGTGTTGTGTGGTGTGTGTGTGTGTGTGTGTGTGTGTGTGTGTGTGTGTGTGTGTGGTGTGTGTGTGTGCGAAAGAGAAAGGAAGAGAGAGAAGAAAGATAAAGAAGACAGAGAGGAGAGAGAGTGAGTGTGGGTGAGCGAGAAGGAGTAAGACAGACAGAAATACAGGTAGATACAACTCGACCATCCTAATTCGTGCCCAACCCCATTCCAGGTAAGCGTCTCGGTGGCTGGTACAAAATTTCCATCCCTACCCTGGACATCTCTGTAAACGTGTCCTGTGAAGGATTGAGCTGCAAGAATATAGCTTCAAGCCTCCAGCCCATGACGGCGGTAGGGTGCGGCAACACTCCTTGTGGTGGGTGACTGTTCTGTAAAGTATATTACGGATGTATATATATATTATAATATATATATATATATTACACACATTTATATATATATATATATATTTATATATACATATATATGCATATTGTGTGTGTGTGTATGTGGTGTGTGTTGTGTGTGTGTGTGTGTGTGTGTGTGTGTGTGTGTGTGTGTGTGTGTGTGTGTGTGTGTGTGTGTGTGTGTGTGTGTGTGTGTGTGTGTGTGTGTGTGCGTGCGTTGTGTGTGTGTGTACTTATTTATGTATAGAGTCATATTTCGAATATAGACGGTTTGCAGTATTAAAGAGATACTGGGTATTATCGATTCTCATGATGCTGTGAAATTTAGACGAAAAAATCCCTTTAAACATCAGGGTCGAAGCCTTTGGAAATTGGTAGTAAATGTGGGAGAAAATCAATTAATAATTGGTGGTGAGTAGAATGTAGATAGATAGATAGAGCGAGAGAATGAGAGAATGACAGAGAGAGACAGATACAGAGAGACAGGCAGAAAAGACAGATAGAGAGAGAGAGAATAGATAGACAGAGAGAGAGAGAGAGAGAGAGAGAGAGAGAGCGATGGAAAAGCAATCATGATTCGGAGAATATTCGACATTATATCCGTTTCTTTCTACAGGATGTCCGAGGGAAGCGGCAGAGGATTGCGCCCGTGGTGAGGTGCAGAAGACGGGTAAGGCGCTGCCTGTTCTCTCTCTCTCTCTCGCTCTTTCTCTTTCTTTCTCTTTCTCTCTCTCTTTCTCTCTCGCGTTCTCTCTTTCTCCCCCCCCCCTCTCTCTCTCTCTCTCTCTCTCTCTCTCTCTCTCTCTCTCTCTCTCTCTCTCTCTCTCTCTCTCTCTCTCTCTCTCTCTCCCTCTCCCTCTCCCTCTCCCTCTCCCTCTCCCTCTCCCTCTTCCCTCTCTCTCTCTCTCTCTCTCTCTCTCTCTCTTTCTCTTCTCTCTCTCTCTCTCTCTCTCTCTCTCTCTCTCTCTCTCTCTCTCTCTCTCTCTCTCTCTCTCTCTCTCTCTCTCTCTCTCTCTCTCTCTCTCTTCTCTCTCTCTCTCTCGCTCTCGCTCTCTCTCTCTCTCTCTTTCTCTCTCACACACACACACACACACACACACACACACACACACACACACACACACACACACACACACACACACACACACACACACACACACACACATACACACACACACCAATGAATGAATGAATGCGTTAATACATATCTATATGCATGCCTCTACAGCATAATCCCGGACTTGATGTTGCACCCGAGACACCCCCCCCCCATAAACATCATAAACACCCCACTGTTCCCTCCAACACAGACTGCGAGATCCTCTACCTCAACCAAGCTGGGGTCGTCCTCAACTCTCCTTCGAAGGTGTTCTGGCGCCCTTTGCTCGCCCATTCAAAACTGCACCTCTTTTTGGGCCCGACGAGCAATTTGTCGGCGAAAGCTTACACCCTTAACTCGAGCCGAGATGCACTGCACACCTGGCTTACTTTTCACATTCAATCGTGGGTTGTGGAGATCGGTAAGTATGGCGGTTATATAGTTCATGAGTTATTCATTGTTGTATTGCTGGTGGGACGGATAATCCTTTTTTCACGAATTTCTTACTTCGCTATCATTATTAACATTGATAATAATGGTAGGAATGATAGTTTTGGTTTCGAAAGTAATTAGTAATGATCAAAATGACATTCATTCAGTCTGTACAGTAGCAACAATATCAGGAGTATCATTACTACCATTATGAGCAGCACTCACTCTCACCTGCTCCATTCACAACAGGGAACGAGACAGCGCGAGACTGCAACGTGACAGTGCCCTTCCTCAATTTCTCTACACAGTGCCCAGTCGATAACAGTGCTGACACAGCAATGGTCTTTGATTCTGCTGACCCTTTTGTCATAGCTCTTGGGTGTGACGAGCCACCAGTCTACAGAAAAACTACAGGTCAGTGTTCTTTCAATTCTTTTATTAATTCTAACACGAAATGGCATTACGTGTAAAAAGGATAACCACACTTGAGAAATGTAACGATATGGAATACAATATTTATCTAAAAACGGATATTAATTGAAAGACACATGGTTTGATTTGCATGTGCAGTTGATTATCCATAGTGGCTCGGAAATACTCTTCCCATTCTCGAATACCCATTACTGAGTGATCCGCACCTCTGACAAAATTGAGACAAGAAAAAGTTAATGGCAACTTGGAGTCTTTTGAACAAAGGAAAACCGAACATTACTGACTTGTCGAAAAAATCTCATGTCTTTGCCTTTACTTGAAAACAATGAAAATAT